TGCCGAACATGACGGAAAATCAATCACAATAATAGGTTTTCGGGGGCCGAAACGTCCCTTCTGAACTCCTACTAGAAATCCAATTTTGTCCAATTTTGATCTCTAATTTTGACTGCTGCTGCTACCTATAATAAAGCAAGAAACCAGCAGCCAGACACCTTTTGTAAAACACAACCGAAACAGCAAAACACCACCTAATTTCGTGCCGAACATAACGCAAAATCAATCACAACAATAGGTTTTCGGGGGCCGAAACGTCCCTTCTGAAATCCTACTAGAAATCCAATTTTGTCCAATAGAAATCTAATTTTGTCCAATTTGATCTCTAATTTTGATTGCTGCTACTGCCTCTAATAAAGTAAGAAACCAGCAGCCAGACACCTAATTTCGTGCCGAACATGACGCAAAATCAATCACAATAATATACCAATGTTTATAGTTTTCGACCAATGTTTATACCACTGTTTGTTGCTGCTGTTGCCTCTAATAAAGCGAGAAACCAGCAGCCAGACACCTTTTTTAAAACACAGCCGAAACAGCAAAACACCACCCAATTTCGTGCCGAACATGACGGAAAATCAATCACAAGAATAGGTTTTCGGGGGCCGAAACGTTCCTTCTGAAATCCTACTAGAATCCAATTTTGTCCAATTTTGATCTCTAATTTTGACTGCTGCTGCTACCTATAATAAAGCAAGAAACCAGCAGCCAGACACCTTTTGTAAAACACAGCCGAAACAGCAAAACACCACCTAATTTCGTGCCGAACATAACGCAAAATCAATCCCAATAATAGGTTTTCGGGGGCCGAAACGTCCCTTCTGAAATCCTACTAGAAATCCAATTTTGTCCAATAGAAATCTAATTTTAGTCAAATTTGATTGATCGCTAATTTTGATTGCTGCTGCTACCTCTAATAAAGCAAGAAACCAGCAACCAGACACCTTTTTTAAAACACAGCCGAAACAGCAAAACACCACCCAATTTCGTGCCGAACATGACGGAAAATCAATCACAATATTAGGTTTTCGGGGGCCGAAACGTCCCTTCTGAACTCCTACTAGAAATCCAATTTTATCCAATTTTGATCTCTAATTTTAATCAAATTTGATCTCTAATTTTGATTGCTGCTGCTGCCTCTAATAAAGCGAGAAACCAGCAGCCAGACACCTTTTTTAAAACACAGCCGACACAGCAAAACACCACCCAATTTCGTGCCGAACATGACGGAAAATCAATCACAATATTAAGTTTTCGGGGGCCGAAACGTCCCTTCTGAAATCCTACTAGAAATCCAATTTTGTCCAATTTTGATCTCTAATTTTGACTGCTGCTGCTACCTATAATAAAGCAAGAAACCAGCAGCCAGACACCTTTTTTAAAACACAGACGAACAGCAAAACACCACCTAATTTCGTGACGAACATAACGCAAAATCAATCACAATAATAGGTTTTCGGGGGCCGAAACGTCCCTTCTGAAATCCTACTAGAAATCCAATTTTGTCCAATAGAAATCTAATTTTAGTCAAATTTGATCTCTAATTTTGATTGCTGCTGCTGCCTCTAATAAAGCGAGAAACCAGCAGCGAGACACCTTTTTTAAAACACAGCCGAAACAGCAAAACACCACCCAATTTCGTGCCGAACATGACAGAAAATCAATCACAATATTAAGTTTTCGGGGGCCGAAACGTCCCTTCTGAAATCCTACTAGAAATCCAATTTTGTCCAATTTTGATCTCTAATTTTGACTGCTGCTGCTACCTATAATAAAGCAAGAAACCAGCAGCCAGACACCTTTTGTAAAACACAACCGAAACAGCAAAACACCACCAAATTTCGTGCCGAACATGACGCAAAATCAATCACAATAATAGGTTTTCGGGGGCCGAAACGTCCCTTCTGAAATCCTACTAGAAATCCAATTTTGTCCAATAGAAATCTAATTTTAGTCAAATTTGATTGATCGCTAATTTTGATTGCTGCTGCCGCCTCTAATAAAGCAAGAAACCAGCAGCCAGACACCTTTTTTAAAACACAGCCGAAACAGCAAAACACCACCCAATTTCGTGCCGAACATGACGGAAAATCAATCACAATATTAGGTTTTCGGGGGCCGAAACGTCCCTTCTGAACTCCTACTAGAAATCCAATTTTGTCCAATTTTGATCTCTAATTTTGACTGCTGCTGCTGCCTATAATAAAGCAAGAAACCAGCAGCCAGACACCTTTTTAAAACACAGCCGAAACAGCAAAACACCACCTAATTTCCTGCCGAACATGACGCAAAATCAATCACAAGAATAGGTTTTCGGGGGCCGAAACGTCCCTTCTGAAATCCTACTAGAAATCCAACTTTGTCCAATAGAAATCTAATTTTGTCCAATTTGATCTCTAATTTTGATTGCTGCTACTGCCTCTAATAAAGTAAGAAACCAGCAGCCAGACACTTAATTTCGTGCCGAACATGACGCAAAATCAATCACAATAATATACCAATGTTTATAGTTTTCGACCAATGTTTATACCACTGTTTGTGCAATGAGACATAGAACCCTCCTGTTGCTCCTGTTGCTGCTGCTGCTCATGGCCACCACTTGAAACGCTGAAACGCCACCTAATTTCGTGCCCAAAACGCTCCAAAATCGAGCCCAAAAAGTGCCTAACGTCGCTTCTGAAATCCTAGAAAAAAAAAGAATTGCCTTTGTGATGATAACCGTCTTGTCAAACACCTTCTATTTCCTCCTGCTGCTGCTGCTGCTCCTGCTCCTGTGACTCCTTCTGTTCAAAAGGCACCTGCCGGATGGGAAAACACCATGGCAGTAGTAGTAGTAGTAGTAGTAGTAGTAGTAGGAGTAGTAGTAGTAGTAGTAGTCCGAAACAAGAGTCAAAAGTATTATTCCCTGGCACGCTCCCCCTTGCGTCTGCCGGGGTCGGCGGATATTGACTGCTGGCTACTGGCTGGGTGCTGCTGTCTTATTCCCTAACGCGCTCCCCCTTGCGCAGCCGGGGTCGGCGGATTTGTCTGTGTGTTATCAATATCTGGGATGATGATCGGTCGGAAAAAATGACGTGTCTACCATTGAAAAACTCAGCCACGATGTGTTCACCATCCCCTATCCCCTTGTAACAGACACTTACGGGACCATCCGCCGAGAAAAGTGTCACCCAGATGCCTTCCTATTGAGGTAAAAAGGATGCTTTAATATTGGATCAATGTTAGTTACATCTCATGGAAATATCATGCCTTAATCATGCTTAAGAGATCTATATAATTCTATAGATCTGTTGTTTGATGAATTACTTACAGTTTATTAACGTTTGATCATATCTACATAATTATATCTAATCAGTTTATATATTTATATATGCATATATATATATATATATGTGAAAACATAAATGTATTTATATATCTCCATCCCGTGTGCCTTTCTCTTTCCCATGCGCAAGCCTTTCTGATCCCAAGGTCGGCATAGAGATGGAAAGATATAGGCCTGTAGTATTTCCAATCTACATATTTACAATGTGGGACCCCCCCAGTTATGTTTGTTGGTTTTTGCACCAGTAAGTAGTAGAGTTTTTTTGCGTACCATAAACCATAGTGAAATTGGAGTTACAAACACTGACTTAGCTAAAGTTTGGGGGCCCCACTTCAGGTTATATATATATATATAACTATCCAAAGATTCCAGTTCGCCTTTCAGACCCCGGTAATAGACCCCAAAGGTCACCACGACTGATAAGCTCAAGATATGTTTCACCATAGTCCCATACAGTTATGGCCCTTTACCAGTTATAAGTACTAACAAAACCCCATTTATAGAATGTATAATCCCACTTATAACCAGTTATAACTGATAAATGGCCATAACTGTATATAATCCCACATTACCATCCCATAGATTTCCTCTTACCTCATTGTACCTAAATCCAATATAATCCAATTGTTTAAACAGTTTAATTACTGTAAGAAATGGTCGTATCAAGAAATATCTAGATGTCTCCCAAGCCCTTACCAAAAGTCATATCTATCTACAAAGTGGTGCCCCCAAGATAGCTAAGTTGGTTTATAACTCCAATTTCACTATGGTTTATGGTACTCTTAAATAACTCTACTTACTGGTGTTTATAAACCAACAAACATAACTGGGGGCCCTATATATGTCATATATGTCATATACTGGTTGTATCTTGATTCTCCCAAGGTACCAATTAATTGGTTACCCGGCTAATTACCCTATTTTCCAACAATCATCCAAAAGAATCCATATCACTAGGTCAATCGACTAGATGGGTAGAAACTAATCTTAGATGGGTACAAACCCCCTATAACTAGGTCAATCTTAGATGGGTAGAAACTAATCCTAACTAGTCTTTTGGTATCTGGCTGGGAATATCTACGTTCACCAGCAAAGAATTGGTCATTTTTTGCAGGGTATCTGGCTGATTGGCAATGATCATTCCACATTATCCCACAATCACATTATACTTGGATTTGCTGAAGATGATTTGGCTTCTTTTCTCCATGGAAAATCCACTACGACTGGGGAATCGATTAAGGGAATATTCTTTATTTGTTTGTGGTTCCTGAAGCAAATTCATGATAATCCCACATGATTCTCCCATAGATTTCCTGTCTACTTAGATGGGCCATGGGATTAACGATTCCTGGTCAGTAACTGGGGATTTGTTACCCTCAAAACAAAACAATGAAATAATCCATGGCTACTAACTAGTTAACTAACTCCATGGTCCATCTAAGTATGTATATCATGATATATTCATATCCACCAGCAACCTCGCGTTCACTGGCATTCCTTGCGCTATAAATGGGGTATTTTCCATAGCTATTTTGACATAACCAGAGAGTACTTCCTACAGTTATGGCCCAAAATGCCAGTTATAAGTACTAACAAAACCCCATTTATAGAATGTATAATCCCATAGAAATAACCAGTTATAACTGATAAATGGCCACAACTGTATCCGCCTAAGGTCATCGGCCGCTTCAACTTCTACCTGATTTCCTTCCTCTCGGCCCTGAAGCGCCTGGTCACCGCCTCGCGAAGCCGCGAGGCGCTGGGCGGCTTCGCGGACGTCACCGGGATGCTCTTGTTCCTCGGTGACGGGTGAGACCTGGGGAGCTAAACTAGTGATTTTTATGGTGATTTGATGGGATTGAATTGGGATTTGATGGGATTGAGGTGTGATTTAATGGTGACTTGATGGGATTGAGCTTACCTCGCTGTTTTTTCCCCACCTGCCAGCTGAGGGTTGTTAGATTTTATGAGCTGTTCTCCTCCTCCTCCTCCTCCTCCGCCTCCCACCTCCTCCCCCTTCACCCACCGCCTCATCCTCGCAGTCCAGATCCCAGTGGGCACAGCCGGACCTCCACCGCGAGCTCCAGATCCCAGTGGGCACTGCGTGACCTCCACCACGAGCTCCAGATGCCGATATGCCAGATAGAATGCCAGAAGGTATGCCAGATAGAATGTCAGATAGAATGCCAGCAGGTATGCCAGATAAAGTGCCAGAATGTTTGCCAGATAGAATGCCAGAAGATTTGCCAGATAGAATGCCAGATAGAATGTCAGAAGATATGCCAGAAGATATGCCAGATAGAGTGCCAGAAGATATGCCAGAACAGATTGCAGAAGATATGCCAGCTAGAATGCCAGAAGATATGCCGGATAGAATGCCAGATAGAATGCCAGAAGATATGCCAGATAAAATGCCAGAAGGTATGTCAGATAGAATGCCAGAAGGTTTGCCAGTAACAAAATGTATAAATGTCATGGTGGGGATCATTCGAAGTGAAGTATTTTTTCTATTTTCAGTTACAACCAAGTAGATTTCAAACACATCAGCATTGCTCACAGGGGGCGCGGAGGTCTATGGTCTGTGGTTCGCAACCTTTTGGGCCTGGAGCAAAGTCAGTCCGAACTCTGCGCAGGCAGTCCCTCTTCCAAAGGGACGACGCCCACAGTGGGGTCACATGGAGATGCAGGAAAGTCCTATATCTTACCACCGCTGCAGCAAGCAGTTTCCAGCTAATAACTTTTGCAAAGGCAATCTTTGGGACGACTGGAGACGCAGCAGGTCCTCACCCTGTCCGTGCAGTTTCTACTTCTAGAATTCTAGAAATTTCTAGAAGGATCTCGAGTACGGGTGGCACGAAATCAGATAAAATCAGTATCGGGGTCACGCTCTCTTCGTGGCTGACACGCCCATCTTGATCAGATTTCTGTGAATCTCTTCTTCTTTTGGAGGCTCCGGAAGCCAAGAAGTCATTTTGTGCAGCTGCCTGTGCGGGCGAGTTTCGTTTCCTGTGGTTTCCTCGCGCGACCTGTGTTTTGCAGGATGCCCGCTGCCTACAGTACTTGTACAAATTACAATGGGTACAATGGGAGTTATAACGGTGATGACGCAGCAAGACTAGTCAATATTTGATGTGATTTAACATAATGTAGCTAACAAACATGGGGTAAACCAGCCATTTGATGGGAAAACGATGGGGAAAACTCAGGAAAAACCCTCCGATTGTGGACAGTGAATGCCAATTTTTCATGGCTACTTGGAGTGTCCAGTTTCCAGATGTTTCCAACCTGGGGTGAGCTGTGCTCAACCACTATCAGTATAATCACTGTTTTGTGCATGTTCCAATGCTTTGTTGGTACATATTAGTACATCCATATGTTGCTCCCATCTCAATGCGGCAGATATGTACCATTACTATTGATAATTAATCACAATAGTAATACTAGGTTGGTATATGGATTATCATTGTTTTTTTTTGGTGGGTTATATCCCCAGTTAGCTAATCCCATGGCATCTAAGTACCTTCTTTACCCCCCAACAACTTTTCCATCGCAAGTGCCGTCGACCAAGGTTTTGGACCTGGTATGTGCCTTGCCGTGGGAATCCATGGGTTTTCTCTGGGCTCCCATCTTGGGTACAAGGTGAGGCCCCCCATTTACGATAGCGAAGTTGGTTTATGACTGGTTGGTGCTTTGGAACATTTGTTATGTTTTTTCCACATATTGGGAATGTCATCATCCCAACTGACGAACTCATATTTTTCAGAGGGGTAGGTCAACCACCAACCAGATGACATTTTATGACTAAAATAATCGTGTTTCATGTTAGATCTATCCTGATGTATCTATAGTTAATGTGCAGATAAACCAACTCGGAACTGAGGGTCTCACCATGTACAAACCATCCATAAATTGATGATGTGTTCATTCCTTGGATTTCCAGACTCAGAACTCAAGCGCGCATTGCTCGTCAGACTGCCAGTTCTCGGATTTTTTGAAGGTTGGTGGGTGTTGCCTTCACAATCTGGTTGCCATGAAATCTTTTTCTGGATTCGGGTGCTAGAATTCCAGGCCACAGGCCATCCGTTTCACTCAGCGCCTGAGGTGGCGTTGGTGAGTCAATTTGAAACTTCCAGGGAAAGGCTTTGCTTCGTCCTGGCTTCAAATTGGACTGCTTCTTATCGGCACGGAGGGTGGAGCCCTGCCCTTAGCTAACATCTGATGCTGGGAAATGATCCCGAATGACTCCCATTAAATCACCATAAAAAATAACTAACTGTTGGTTTGAGGCAGTTGTCTTATTGAAATGTATCTTCCTTTGGCACCTCATGATTGATATGATTGGTTGCCAAAAGGTTTGTTTCGGCACACTATTTGAACCAAAAAATGATTCCTATGATTCAAAGATCACAGTGAGTCAACCTGGGTACTGGGTAAAGCTTGGATGGATACTTTAGTTCTTGAACCTTTGCAAGAGCAGCCCCAAGTGGTTGTTCGGCGACGGATTATTGTAAGATATCACATTAACGGAAGATTCAAAGCATCACCCGCTACAAGATGTTTGATAAACACACACATATATATATATATCTAGTATATGGGGGGTGATGCTTTAATATAGTATAATTATATATATATATTATTATATCTATCCTTCACCTTTTTCATCCAACATGATCCCCTGAATCCAATTGTTCATTTCGATGTGGATCCATAAAGGGAAATCCCAGCTAGTCATGTTTGATTCTCTCCCATCTTTAACATGACAACAAACTCATTTCAATTCATGTTAGTTTTTCTCAGAATTCAAATCAACATGTTTTGGTTAATGAAAACCTGAAATAGGTTGGTTAAGATTGGTTTTAACATAACATTGTATTCTCCAACATGGTCAACATCTAATTTTCTGGTTGGTGGTTTGAAACATTTTTTATTTTTCATATATTGGGAATAATCATCCCAATTGACTTTCGTATTTTTCAGAGGAGTAGGTATACCACCAACCAGTTTTGATTGATCAAAACCCATGACATACTGTGGATGGAAGAAATCCTGCACCACCAAAAGGATGGTTGAAACCCTATAAGTAGTGGGATGTTTACCAGCTATCAGCTGGTGCAGGATTTCGCAACCATCCACCGTACATCAACATGTGTGTTGGTCAAAAATCCATGTTCAATCCCATTAGATCACCATTTGCTGATGACATCCCAATAAAAAATTTGGTACATCCCCAAGAATAAGCCATTCACCATCTGAAATCTCCATTAAATCCATGACATTTCCAATGAAATTCCCGTTTTTGTTGCTTCAATCACCAGAAAATTCTTCTTGGAATCCCAAACCACCACTAAATCAACATCAAATCTGTGAAATTACCATGTTTGTTAAATCACCCTTACCCTAGTGCTCCAAATACCCTCTGAGATAGTGTGAACAGACCCAAAAAAAACAACTCCATCCATACAGTCTCAGTGCCGGTGTTTGGAGCTGTAGGCTTAAATCCCAATGTATCACCATGAAACCTCAGGTAGGTATTCTACACATCCAACTCGTGTTGAGTCATTTAGCGACGGAAACCTTCACAGCAGAAGAGGCCGCCCGCGACCTTCACGTGATGTGGGAAGCAGTTTTTCGGGCTTAGAAATGGTGAAACACAATCCACCTAAAATGGTAAGCGCACAAATGATTTACTAAATTTGTTCACCTAAAATGGTATTCACCAAGTTGAGCAAAATTTGTGTTTCCATTGGGCAAACATTGTGATTTCACCAGCACTAAAAGGATGGGACGTCACATGATGTCACCAATTTTCCGATTTTTTTGTTGCCACAGAAATGGATGGATTTATGACCAGAAACTTACTGGTGCGTTTTACGTAGGGAATGGATGGAAATCTGGGGGTTGCTGGGATGATTATTACTAGTGATGATGGATCATTCCCTCATTTTTTTTGCGCTTAGCACCAGTAAGGAAATGGTGATCTTCACATATCTTTAATATTCGACAAACAACTTTTTGTGGTGACATCGCCACATTTTTGTGGAACTGTTATTTGACCAACCAATGTGCTGATTTTGGAAACCACTCTGCGGGTGACACAGTGACACCTTATTTTTTGTTTTTCCACGGCACTGCATGCACTGCATGCCACTTCCAGCCCTGGAGAAAATAGTCCGTTCACAAGGTGTCCCCCTAATTCCCTTCACCACTGGGCCGTGAAATCCCAGGTCTCTTGTTGTGATTTTGACCTTTTGTGGATCTATAGCTTGCGGTGTACAGAAAATATATGGATGGAACGTCAAGAAACCAGCAAATGTGGCCATGGCCATGAACACAGCAGTTCAAACCACATGTTCGCAATCCACAGCAGTACCCATAGGATCCATGTATGGTATATATGCTAACATTTGGGGTATATGGATGGTAAATGTTACCATATATAGCATACATGGATCCTATGGGGTATAAACACAGGCTGTCACCGTGACTGCAGGAGAGGGAGCAGCAGTTTTTCACCTTCCAGCTGAAGACCTCTCGAAACATCGATTCTGATTGGCACCTTGGTAGCCCGTGGGCCATGGTTAGTTGGTTAGCTGGCTAATACATGTTACCCTCTGGTAAACATACAAAAACTATGGAAAATCAGCATTTATAGTGAATTTTCCTATGAAACAGTGTGATTTTCCATAGTTATGTTAGTTTACCAGAGGGTAGTAGCCGGGTTATATCACGGACAATCTTAGATGGGTAGAAGCTCATCCTAACTATATAGTCTTTTGAATGGGATTATCTACGTTCTAACCAGCTAAGAATTTGTCATTTTTTTGCAGGGAATCTGGCAGATTGGCCATGATATCATGTCCCAGATGCTCCATGGTGCTGGAATATTTGCCTACATTTACCCTAAAAATGGCCCAAATGTAGGTAGAAATAAATAAATAAATAGATAAATAAATAAATATATATATATATATGGCAAATACATATATACCCTCTGGTAAAGTAACATAGCTATTGAACATGGCCATAGAAATAGTGAGTTTTCCCATTAATAGCATGGTGATTTTCCATATAAAATATATATATATACCAGCACCCTGGGAGCATCTGGGTCTTATATCCCCTTGCTCTCGCCGGCAGTTTCGATGAAGTCTGACCAGGTATGACCAGGTGACCATGGCAGTTTTAAGCTGGTGAAACGGCTGGTTTATAATGGTTAAACTGGAACCTATCAATGGTTTATGATGGTTTATGATGGTTTATAATAATGGTTTATAATGGTTTGTAATGGTTTATGATGGTTTATAATGGTTTATGATGGTTTATAGTGGTTTATAACCAAAAATCTATCAATGGTCTAGACTTCTGGTGTCGAAAGATGATGGGATCTAGCTCCAATGGAATAAATTCAGGAAGATCGGTCAGATGATGTTTTGAATCATGGGATTTTGGGTTACCCCATCTTCAGACACACCGTTTTTTGTCTTCCAAAAGGTGATGTTGTTATGGAAGTGGACTTTTTTGGTGGTGAAATTTGATGATACAGCTGGATCGTGGGGTTCCAAATGGGGCAGCATGGGATATATATATATATATTATAACAATAATATATAATATATAATATATATAGGGGGGATTTACGAACAAAGTTGGTGCTTTATTGGCTTAAAACCGTGGCAAAACCCACCGGAACATGACCTGCAAATGATGGGTTTCCATAGTGACCTTTTCGAACACACCCATTGAAACCAGAAGTACTCCATTTTTTCCGTCACACCCCAAATCCCCAAATTTGCCATCTTGATGAAAAGTTTCCGGGTTTCGAGTTTCGTTGGAATTCGGGCTGCCCAATTTTCAGACAAACTCATAGATGGGATATTCGCAAGAGTTTCATAACCCATGAAATATATTCACTTACAATTGGGTATGATGAAAAATTACCCACCAGAAAAATCCTGAATTCCAATATCATCCACTTAAAGGATGACTGTCAGTGAGTTTTCATGTGTTTTTTTTCCGGTAAAATGTGCCCAATGTGACTGTCACCCATGCAACACACTCACTCTCCCGTTGCGCCGGCATCAGCCGAGGTATGACCATTGGTTTCATGGCGGCTTGGAGTCTGGAAACTTAGCACCAAACTGTGCCCTGCTTCATCCTGTGGCTGTTCTGCTTCACTGGGCCTAAAGCCCAGCTACTTCACCCATGGTTAAAAATCGAATCCAATATGTCCTTGCTTGAAACTGCCCAGCTATCTACCACTGGACTCCTGAAATTAGCAAGTGGCTAGTGACTTCACCACAGCCCGTAGTCAAAGTGCCCATTACCCACTCAAATTTGGCAAAGTACAACAGCTATCGAGTGAATTACCCAATGTTGATTGGTCAATGGCGTGTCCATACAACGTGGTGCCCCCAAAATATCAGTTAAGGTTTATATACCCGATCGAACTGTATAATATAATAAATAAATATATATATATATGTATATGTTAATACTAATATATACTAATATATACTAATACATACTAATATATACTAATATATACTAATATATACTAATATATACTAATGTATACGATATATTATATACTAATATATACTAATGTATACGATATATTATATACTAATATATACTAATATATACTAATATATACTAATATATACTAATATATACTAATATATACTAATATATACTAATATATACTAATATATACTAATATATACTAATGTATACTAATGTATACTATATAATATATACTAATATATACTAAAGGACATTTCCTTACATTTGGGGTTGATTTCATTGCATTTGGTAGTTGGGATTGGGTGCATAGACGCTGCTCGTCCATTGCAGCCATCAGCGTGCTCAAGGCATGAGTGATGAAAGGTTGAGATATTTGAAAGGGGTGAAAAGAAAGGGTGATGAAAAACCCAAAGGCCCTGATCATCGTGATCCAAGGAGCAGCAGCTCAAAGAGCAGCAGCTCGAAAGTAGAAGTAGAACCAAAAAATGAAAGGGCTCGTTTTTTGGCCATGGTTGCTCGGAGATCCTCTGCTTCTCGTTCACGGGGGCACGTTGGTTCAGGCCAGGTGGTGGTTTCCGAAATGAAAGACCATAAAGTTTCTTCGGAGATTAACTTCACTTTGAGTTCCCTCAAAGAGTTTGCTGCTCGAAATGCGTTGGTGGGTTCTTCTGGTGAAGCTGGGGGGTTTGCCACAGGGAGGAGGAGACCAAACTATGATAACAGGTTGAGAAGGTTGAACATGAAGTTCAATCCAAGGGTGCCGCACCTGGTCAATTTAGTACTCATGTTGCATCTCAAGGTGCATCGCTTTCAAATGATTTTATGGCTATTGTTTATTTTTGTTTGCTTTGGGGACTTGAGATCCAATTCATGTGTGCAAAACAGAACCTAGGCATCAAAAAAACGGAAGCAGTTTACAGAGACTCCGGGACGTTTTGAACAAGACTTGCCCATGTGGGAAAGACTGCTTTCAGAACTTCCAGCAGGTTGAGAGTGATGCTTTTGAATATGTGAAACGGTTCTGGGCTTTGAAGAAGCTGCAGCAAGATATGTATGTGCAGTACTTAGCTGTTAGCAACAAGAAGATACAAGAGGGGCTTAGAGGCTTGGTTGGTTGTGTCAATGTTTCAGTAGGGGTCTGGAAATTAGTACCGGTTGTTTAATTCCAACTATTTCAGCTACATCCCAAGTTTGTGCTTCTCGCTAAGTTGCATCAACAAGTTCAACCTGAAGGTTCCGATCAAGGCCGAAAACTATGGAAATTTCTTGGGTTACCTTCTTCACCAAAGTGCTTCGCTATGTTGGTTGGCATCAATGAAAGACGTTTGTCTGCTAACCCTCGTGTTGACAGAAGATATGGGTGCACAGGGGCTCAAGCTACTTGACCTAATTGCTGGAAAACAATTTAGGGTTTATTGTGGTTCTTGGATGTTCCTGGTTCGGGCACCACCTCCATCCTGGCTTAATCTTGGGTAAGGTATTTGCACGGGCACCTGTGAAGAACATGGACATGGACAAGTTCTTCTTGGACATGTATGTCCAAGCGGGTGGCCTGCTGCCAACAAAGTTGCTTGTGCAAAAAAAACGTTGTCAGCTGGTTCATGCGTTCCATAAGGGGCCATATTCCACAGATTGGCTTTGCTTTTAGGTTCCAAAGACGTGGGCAACGAAGAGATGAATCTGGCAGCCGTACATTTGCTGCTCTACTTGATGCATCACAACAAGGAGACCCAGCATTCTGTTGATTTCATGTTTGACGATCCCTGCTGTGTTATAAACCATGGTTTTCATAGACTAGGCGAAGATCATCATAGAGAGCCTGATTCTGATGAAGGGCCTGAAGAAGAACTACTTTGCTATGCAGAGGAACGACTTGAAGATGACAATGAATTGAAATTACATGCCCTATCAAACCAGGCTCTCTGGTCAAGGTCATTTGTCTTAGGCATTCAGTGCAACAGTTGAATGTCAATCAATGAGTGTAGTAGTCATTGTTTGCAATGTTTTGGTTAGGGGTTTGCTGGGTGTCATGCATTTAGTCCAAGGTACATTGACACCGCTTCTGGGGATTCAATATCGCACCTTCCCTATAGAGTGCTGCCTCCTGGGTCCGTC